GGGACGAAGATGGTCATGTGGGGGCCCTGTGGAAAAAAATGTCAGTATAGGGAAAGTCTCTAATGAGTTATGTCTAGTCCATGTTAGATGATTTGTTTGATTGAAGATCTATGTTGAAATCCTCAACTTGATTGAAGTCGTTACTCGAGGTTCTGGTTGGAGTGTCAGTCGAAACGGAGTGAGTTGAATCCAGTGTAGTCAGGAAGGTGTAGTCCAATTCCTTTTATGGAGCATGTAGGGATTGCTGTCAGGCTGGGTCTTGATGGCTGTATGGGACTCAAACATATATTGCCAATACTGGGCTAGACAGGAGAAGACACTCTCAGATCAAAAGGAGTGTCTCACCCTTCTTCATTGAATTACACTGTCATTAAAAAGTCAAAGGCCGGAAGTTGATGGTGGACGCCTTTAAACCCAGCACTTGGGAGGCCAAGGCAGGCGGATCTCTGTGAGTTCAAGGCCAGCCTGGTCTCCAGAGAGAGTGCCAGGATAGGCTCCAAAGTTACACAAGAAACCCTATCTCGAAAAAACAAAACAAAAAAAAGTCCCTCAAAAGTTACTTTTGCCAAGGCCTTCAAAGTTACAGGTTGATTACCCCCTGAAAAATCTGCAATAATTTCCTGATATAAGAACAGATATGAGCTGGGTGGTGGTCATGCATGCCTTTAATCCCAGCACTCAGGAGGCAGAGGCAGGTGAGTTTGAGGCCAGCCTGGTCTACAGAGTGAGTTTCAGGACAGCCAGAATACACAGTGAAACCCTGTCTCAAAAAACCACACACACACACCCCATAGGAATGACAAATACCAGACAAAAGTTGAAACCATTACATCTTATATTGACTATTATAAGCATTGAGAGGCTCCAAAGCTACACAGAGAAACCCTGTCTCGAAAAACCAAAAACCAAAACAAAGAAACAAAAAAACCCATTGAGTAAGCCAAGTGAAAATAATTGAAGTCATTGTATTCTCTGAAAATGAGTATGATGTCATTTGTCTTTGAGACTGAAGCAGGAGTTCAAGGACAGAGTTATAGGTTGAAGAGATGGCTCAGTGCTTACGAGCACCTGTAGTTTCATGAATTCCAATGCTATCCTCAGGTGTGCAGATACACATGCAGACAAAAGCACCCATATACATAATTAAATCTTTTTTTTTTTTCAGCCAGGTCTGTATAGTCAGTTCCAGAATGAGCAGGGCTATGTAGCAAGACCTTGTCTCAAAAAGCCCTGAAGCAACAACAAAGTTAAACATTTGCTTTTCTTCTTGCTCCACATATTTAAAAGCCAGAGTGAGAATCCTGTAATCAAACGTTATATATTTTATCTAGTTTATATCACTGACTGGCCTCAAATTCACCAAATTTATTTGAGGCATTGAACCCAAGGTTTTGTGCATGCTAAATAAAAACTACCAACCGAGCTATTATACCTTATCCCAAATGGTTTTACTGGAAAGGTAACCACAGTTTTATGGCCATATACATGTGACTGACTTTTCTTATGGTTTCTTCCAGCCCCTCAGAAATACTCTCTATGACCACAAGGGGGATTTGGCAGCTAAATGTTCAAAGCATGAACCTAACAATAGGAGCTTTTAATATTTACCGGTATGAAGGACAGCCTTCCAAACTGCCTTGCAAATGAGCATTTACAGCCTGAAGGCTGGAAGGAATAAATTGAATCTAAGAAGAAAGGGTTCTAGTAACTAAAAGTACACAGTGTATTTGATTTCTCTGTTGGCATTTCAGTATCAACTGAAATGGAAGGAACTGGTGTGTAATGTAATTTGCATGAGGATAAATGTTTACCAAACAAAACAAGCAATAGTACAGGGCCTATGTGTAATACAGATGGATGACATTTATTTATCTACTTTCTTGTTTGTTTGATACAGGGTCTCACTATGTAACCCTGGCCTACCTCTAATTTGCTATATAGATCAGGCTAGACTCAAAAGAACAGATCTTCCTGGCTAGTGTTGGTAGTAAAGGATGTGCACCACCACAACTAGTACATTTTATGGTTTTTTTGTTTTGTCTTGAGACAGGGTTTCTCTGTACTGCTTTAGAGCCTGTCCTGGAACTCGCTCTGTAGACTAGGCTGGCTTTGAATTCACAGAGATGTACCTGCCTCTGCCTCCCGAGTGCTGGGATCAAAGGTGTGCACCCCCAACGCCCGACAACATTTTGGTTTTTTTAGACAGGATCTAAGTTGTGAAGTCTGGTCTTGAATTTACTCTGTCTGGTGTGATTAGCACATGAATGCACTTAGCAGAGTGACTATAGATTTATCAATCTACAGTCTAAGGAAAAATTAATAAAAACTCCCAGGAGCAGAAGTGATCCCAAGGAAGTAATATCCTGACTTATATTTTTAATATTCTGGGATCTGGGGGGGGAGTGTATCTTAATGGTGAAGTATGTACTTAATGTGCACAAAGCCCTGGACTCAATCCCATTAACCTATAAAATAAATAATATTCTAG